TTTATTTGGTCAGTTTTCTGTTCCTTGTAATTTCCTTTTAAGGTGAAATTTGTTCTAGGCTCTTCTGGGTTTCCTCTACATCTGGAACCTCGCTGCATTACAGTGAGTTAGATTTATGCTGATCTTAGTATTTGCTTGTTTTGTCAGTGTACAGCCACCAAGTCACTAAGTCCACACTAACACACACACAGACACACACACACATGCACTCAAAGTGGCCCTCCAGCATCGACACATGCAGATATTTATAGAAAGACAAGCGATCTCTTATGTCCCCCCCACCCCCACCCCCCCGCTCTTATTTAAGGAGGACACACACTCACCAGCAGACAGGCAACATACCAAGGTCAGACGAGCAGGCACACACACGCACACACACACACACACACACACACACACACACACACACACACACACCCTGCTTATGAGTGTGTGTTTCTATAAAAAGCTTCAACTGCCAGAAGGTGATGATAGCAACAAGTTCTAGCATCCTGCAAACACACACACACACACACACACACACACACACAAACACACACACACACACACACACTGAACATAAGATGATGCCAGTGTTTAAACTGGCCTAGACCGACGGACACACCATTAATGAAGTCTGACAGGAAAAAAAATCCAACTGAAATGCTTTTCCTTTGTGTCCTTACAGAAAAAAAAAAGCTAAATTCCTCCTGAGACACTTTTAGAATGAGCTTTAGGCCAAGAAAGTCTTTCTGTTGTCTATGACTGAATCATAAAATCTATGACATGGACAATAATAATGAGGGTGATGACAATTATTAAGACAAGACCATTCAGATTGAGTTTGTGAATGGAGTAAGTTCTTAATCCACTAAAAAGTTCAGAATTACGAGAAAAAAAAAGTTATTTCGGAAATTGAAAAAAAAAGGAAATTCTCCCAAAAAATGTCATGTTCTAGAAAAAAAGTCTGCATTATGAAAAAAAGTTTGAATTTCAGAAAATAGTCTGAATTCTGACGTTTTTTTTAAATATCAGAATGCTTTATTTTTGTCTTCAGTGGCCTTTATCCTCTTCTGTAGTTCAGACTTCATAGAGTTGCCCTCACATCTTCATTCGTACTCACAGAAACCTCCAGAACCCTCACAGTGTTTCAGACTCACATGTATGAGAGCAGAATTTTGTGTTCCACATTTTGTGGACATACAAATACGACTATGAATCCACAAAATGGAATAAGACACTTTTGTCCCTTTTCTGACTCCATATCCAGCTCATTCAATCACCATATATCCATTTCTTTTGCATTAAAATAGATTTTAGTCTGGAATTGGTGATCGTTAGTAACCGTTAACCACCTGAAAACGTAATGCCCACCCCCCCCGAGCCTTCCGACCAGTGGCCAGTCCCTGTGAGGTTCATTCATAGAGGAAGTGAGACTAGACTGAGGTGCAGATTTCAAACTTCTTAGATGTGGCGGCTTTAAACATTGCACGCTGTCAAACCACAGGCAAGTTAAAAAAAATAAAAAAATTAAAAAAAAGAAGAACAAAAGCAGAACAATTTGAATTTCATGCATAAGAATTTAGGAGATCCCAGAATTCCCCCAAATGATAGAGAGGAAGGATTCTTTGAGGTGTGTGTTGGTTGTGGTGGCCTCACCTCTTTGGGGGAGAATATGGAAATGTAGTTCTCGTATATGGAATAGGCTTTTTCCTGGACGGCGCTCCCGTTGGCCTCCTGTTTGAGGTCCTCGCAGGCCAGCCAGAAGAGCATGTTCTCCTCGCTGTACTCGGTGCGCAGAAACTCCCGGAACACGTTGCGACCCGCCGGGTTCCTCATCAGCTTGTCGAAGGACTGAGACCAGAGCCGGATCTCCTCCGGCGAGGGCTTGGCGCTGTGGGGGGGGAGGTAAAGTGAATAAAAAGGAAGTCCTTCTACCTCCATCATGATCATGTCTGTTAGACGCATCTCAGATGAGAAAAAAAGGAAGTCTTACTACTAAACACAGATCATTGTCCAGTCTACGCTTAGTTTAAGGTCTATCTATTCCCCATCCTGCTAAATGAAAACCTACCCATAGCTTTTAAAGGTCTAACTGTGGGCAGCTTCAGAGTGTTTCATATATCTGATAGCTGAGACATGTAAAAAGAAACTGAAAAAACTTGTTTTTTTCTGTTTGTTTTATGGGGAAAACTCAGGTTTTACTCCTCTTCCTAAATAAACTCAACTACAGCAGGTTTGTTACTTATTTGGCGGATTTTTTATGGT